CCCCAAAACCCCAAAACCCCAAAACCCCTCAAGTCATAAGAATAGCTTTTACTTAAAAAGACTTAAGAATGAAAATACTTATTAATTTGATTCTATTAATTAGTCGTAAATCTACTATTTATAGTTAAACATGTCATGGCAACGTCAAGTTAGTAAAACCGTTTTGGAGTTTTAGATTACACAAGATACTTATACCAAAGCATTATTTGAATTTCATTTGTTCAGATTTGGCTAATCTGATTATTTTTTGCTTTTAGAAGATCGTTTCTTCGAGTTATTTGTTGTACGGCTCTCAAACTTTTAAGGTTCATTATTCTACTTCTTCGATTTCATATGAGCTAAGAAATCTCTCTTTACAACATCCCTTACATCATTACATTCCAAAATGTATTTCAATAGATAAACCTTTAACTTTGCCAGTGTATTCTCATACTTATTTCCATGATAAGATCTGACAAAGATCGCATTTTAATGAACTAAGGTCATATCTCTTAAGTCATTTGCAATAAACAATACATTCTTGATAGATCTCCCCTCTAAAAACAAATCTTTATTCCTGCAAATAACTCTCATAGGTTTGTCAATAATACAATGCTCCTTAGTAAGAACATAGTCAAAGAATTACTTAGGGTTTTTTTGTTGAGAATTATCAGGCTCATTCTTATTCTGCCTTGAGTTAGATTTAGGCCTCTTTTATGATTAATTAGTATCCATGAGTTAGTTTAGGACATCGACCCATTGTTTTGCCCAAGGCTGTTCCTCTCTGATATAAAGGATGATTTCAAAGAATTAGCTCATTGTTTTGATGAAGGTATAGAGATGTGGTCTAAAAAATATTTTCACCTATATATTTATTAAATCAGACATAGATTTACGTTTCTTTTAACTCCATCTTTTCTAATTTTAATAGTACAATCACAAGTTTTAACAATCTAGGCATGAGATGAAAATAAAAATAAGCCGTCAATGCTCGTAAAAATTAAAGTTTTTTTATTACTTGGCCTATCCCCTATAAAATATCAATCAATTATCTTTTTTTGTAATGAGAAGTAAAGCTTGATAATTTTTGTTTAACTTACTTTTGAGTTCGATCTTTAATTATTTTATTTTGGATTCTAAAGGTCTCTCAATTATAGGTTCTTAATTAATAATGAAAGACATTTCTTTTTAATATCTCTCTATTTCATCTGTATCTTTGAAGGCAAAAGTTAGTAGCATTTTAAGTTCTTCTTGCTCAATTTCTTCATCAGTGGGAAATCTAGGCGTCCCCTCTGGAGTCTAGTCTTGTAAAATATCCTGATTAGAAAGTTAATTTAAATTATTTCTACGAACCCCATTATTTTCAACATTTATGAGAGCATGTGTAAGAAGCTTCATAGGGAAATCTGCCGTCTCTGTTCTAATTAACTCTCTGTCTCTTTGATTTAGAGATGAAATTGAAAGCCTTAGATTATTATTGGACTGTCTGTGAAAGAACTTGGTTTCAATCTTTATCAATTGGTTCATTTCCTTTTAATAGTTATTCTCATCTTCCTCTTTGTGTTCTTCCTCTATAAGATTTATGTTTGGATTTATTATTCTTGAAGAGTCTGAAGAGGAATTGTCTTGCCTCTCGCTTTCCTCTAAAAGTAGATCTTCCATTGATGAAATTCTTTTCTTAGGGTTAAGAGTAAGCTCATCTTCCCCTTTTTAGTATAAAGTATATTTTTACTCTTCTTTACGACGGTGATGTTATTCATCGAAATTTTTGAGTGATTATGATATCTCTCTTTTGATTTTGATTTTCTGAGGTATCAAATCCTCTTTTAATGCCATATTAGAGATTTACTTCTTGGGTTTCTTTTATTTTTGATTGCTGCCAAGTTATCTAAGTGAGTTTTAATTTTCAAAGTCTTTGTTTGAGTTGAAATTGACTTTGTATTAACCATCACCTTCTGTCAATATTCTTCCATTTTAAGCATTACCTTTATCAGACAATAATGGGTTTCTATGTGTCAAAGCATGATTACTAAATATAAGTCCCAAAGGAGATAGCTCTTCTGTAAACTCCTCTTCTGTTTCAAAATGATCATAAGCACTAGACTAAGATTTTTATGACTTTTTTTTATTGCTAATATGTAGCTACTATTATTACTTTAAGGCTTTTCTATCCTCCATTTATATAAAAATTACTGAATTATACTAATTTAATTAAATGCTTTTAAAGGATGCTAGCAAAATCTGATAAATTAATAAAGCTATTAATATTTGTGAAAATGATAAATCAGTCAAACTAACATGAATAATAGGATTCATTCTCATATGAGTCTGATGATCATAAAGTCGAAAGTTCTGATAGGCTCGATACAATAATTGATTGTCATATGCTGGGAGAAATATAAATTGAGTAGCATAAAGATAATCCATTGATTCTGAACAAAGGACTAGCTCCTAGCCTGAGAAAATCATCAATGAATCTAAATATTTATCAGATTTAATATGTAAATATATAACGATGTCTGTTCAAGGCTTATTTTATATTTCATAGGCAGAGAAATTATGAGAAAACTAGGAGTTTTATCAAGTTTCCAAGAAGATCCACACAATTCAAGATGAGATGTCACTACTTGATAAATTAGTAAGATTAATTTCTCAATTTTCGCCCTTTACTCATTTTAATATTTAGGATGCCTTGTAAATTTCTATTTTAAAGGAAGAGCTAGAAGAAGGCAGATTACCTTCAATTGAATAGAGTTTATTACAAGATCCAGATGAATAAAAGTATCCAGTAGCCACTGATCAAATAGTTGAGACGCATATTGTTATTAAGCAGCGTAAAACTCAGCTTGGATCAAATGATGAAACTTCGAAGGCTTCGAAATAGAGAGAAAATGGTATACTTGATTCTTCATAAGATAGAAGTCTGTAAGGACCGACTCTTTAGAGAATTGACAAAGATAAATCAGTTCTTGTTAAGTTACCCTTAAAACAATAAAAAAGAACTCAGAAGATTAGGAAAGATGAAAAGGAAGCTAACAAGACTCCTAAAAATACATTTTCTCATTATGAATTCACTAAAAATAATCCATATTCTACCTAAAATAATATATCCGACAACTAATCCCCTTAAAAATTGCAAAGGGCTTAGTCTAATGACTTTGGAAGTAAGAGAATATCTTTACATAAACATATTTTTAGTTAAGATAAATCATAACAAGAAAAGGAAGAAGGGCAAAGACAGAAATAGAATATCAGGAGGGGGTGAAAAAATTAAGATAGACAAGTGCAAACTTAAAAGAGTGAAATCAAATTTTAATGAGAGCAACGATAAACTCTTAAACTTTGGAATTGAAAGAAATGGTTCCAGCTTCTCTTTAGATAGCAATAATAGTGCTTTTAAAAAGAGCTGCTTGCCCAATGAATAGCGAAAAACTTTCCGCAGAAGTTCCTTAAGTGGAACTAAAGTAAGGTTTAACTAGGAAGTTGGGCCTTATAAAGAGTAGGACGAAGAGGCTAAAATTGATGAAAATAGACGAAAATATAAAAAGGGATCAAACAATGCTCATAGTGATATTTTAATTCATCTTCAGGTGCAGCTTAGACCAAAGAAGATGGCTTATATTAAGAAAACAGATCCTGTGGGGTACATGCCCTATCATCGCTTGTTTCTCTCAGATAAAAATCAATAAAAAATTTACCTTACGTCAATACATAACTGTCGCAGCATATAGTAGACACTTAAAGAAGGTTTAAAGGAGAGCAAATTAAACATTTTAAAATAAAAATTAACTAAAGTTGCTAAAACAACCTAGTACAATCAGAATATGAACATCTAGTAGCTTAAAAATGAGATTAAATAACAGAGTAAAAGTAAGTTCTTATACTTATAGTTTATTACACCATTAATTACTAGATTCTTAATTCTTACTTAATATTTTATAGAGACAATAGTATTCAATTTAGAGTAAACAATCCTATAAGTAATATTAAGGGATGTTGAATTATCTGGCTATGATGCCTCAGCCTACGTAAATCTTTTTGGGAAAAATTCATTTAAGCTCTATCTAAGTTATAGACCTTACTTGAAAGAGATGCTAGGTGAGTTAAAGGATGATTTTGAGCTGATTCTTATGGGAACAAAGGATTAGCAATACGTTGAAAAAATTGCAGCAACTCTTTAGAAAGATGAACAGTATTTTGATTTTCTGATAAATAAGGAAATGCTGTATACTCATCCTGATCTTGGACATCACACCTTAGATCTCAATATTCTACTAGGTTCGAGAGACTTGAAAGATATTATAGTAGTTTCACATAGCTGTGAGCGGCATCTTTTCCAGTATGGAAATGGTGTACCCGTGAGAGACTATTCTGGCTGTAAAAAAGATCTTTCATTTTTCGCCCTTACTAAATATCTCAAATCGTTTAAGGACGTTATTGATGTCCGCACCAAAATAGCTGAAGACTTTGGATTATGAGAATTTTTATAAATTTGAATTATATATGAGGAATCCCAAATTCCTATTACTTTGTAGTGTTGAAAATAATTGAGAGGATATCATTAAATATATTTGGTTAGTATTGAATGAATATACATCCTTAATTATCGATATTTTTCATATCATTAATATCTATAATTTGTTCTTTCATTTTTATTCGACAAATGCTCCTGATGGGGTTTTGGGGTTTTGGGGTTTTGGGG